TTAATTTAAGTTTGTAGTACTGTACAGATATTACCCTGCTGAGAACTTAGCTATTCTCTCTGTGGCAGGGATAGAGAAAGTGTGGTCCACAGGCTACATAAATCAGCACCCCCAACTCCCATTTGTTCTATTATTATTATTATTATTATTATTATTATTATTATTATTATTATTATCATCATCATCATCATCATCATCATCATCATCATCATCATCTAAAAGGCCCCTTGCACACTCTAGGAAATGCAGTAGCAATTCCACCACGTTTTTGCCTCCCGTCAACCTCTTCTGGGTTCAAAGGGACCCTCTTTCAAAGCCAGAAGTGACTATTCAAGATCATAAACAAACCGGGTTGTGGGGTGAAAAATCTTGGCAAAATGGCCTCCCACAATCTCTGGAAAGAAGGAGGAGCCTTGTGAAGCAAAATATTTGGGGGCATATGTGTCAGGATGGCCTTCGCGGGTCCAGAGAGATGCATGTGTGGCCCCCTGAACCTCTGAATTTTGCCCACTTCTACTCTGTGTTGAATGTTGCCCACTGAGAAACTTCAGACTACTCTGTGTTGTAAAGTGATTCTGGTTCAGCTTCAACATGATTCAGTAGCTACTACATTTGGTGGTAATGAATTGCAAAAAAACTCAGAAGAGTTAAAGTGGGAAGACACATACTTGGTAATGTGAGGTAATTCACTCATGGAGTGTGAGGGCAAAACTGTGCTCCTTTCCATTCGATCATCTCCAACTTGCTGTAATTGCGTTTTTTTAAAAAATTCCCCCCTAACTTGTTCTGTAGTTCATGTCTAAATACAAGAAGATGTTTATATTGCATACATTCAGCTTTAATTGGCCCTTAAAAGAAGGTGTTGATTAGAATCTGCTCAACATCAACAGCTAGCTCGCACAACATTCTGTAATTACTGTTTATTAATTTAGTTCAAGTGGCACAGTTGAAAGCCCTGCTCAGATGGGAGAAGTAAATTGTCACTGGTATTGAATATGCAAATGATCTGCTATGCAAGTTTCCATGAAGGATGCTTAAAGTTAAATCCATAAAGCATTCCCATTTTATCCAGCAGTGCCGCCATATGACAACTTTGCCTGATAATAGTAAGAACAATAATAATAAAGGCAAAAAATATTCCAGGACAGCTAAAAGTCTTATTTGATAAATATCCTGGGGATAAGATTTTTTTTATCACAAGTCGCTCAGTTTTGTTGATCTCGCACTAATAGACATGGTATTGATTTGGTGGCTCACTCCAGGGCATGCTTCTTGCTTATGAAATAGCTGGTATGGAAACTAGTTCAGAACAGGACCATGGCATGGAGTCTTCAACCCATTTTTCTTGTCATGGTCCCCATCCATGTGAGAGTTACGGCTGCTGTCTGCTTCAGGGAAGAAATTCTCAATGTTGGCTTCCATACCAGGGGAAAGATCAGCTGGGTTTAAGCCAATCTATATGGGACCAAAGGATTCACTATCACTTCCTTTATGCCACAATCCTGATCTGATTGTAGAAGAGAAATAATAAGTATGTTAAGTACCAATCACCTGAAATCAAGCACACAAATACCAATCATATTCAGTTGTTGCATATATGATTGTAATCAACATGGTTAGAGAAGAGTGACTAGCCCCCCCCCCTCTGCTGTTACGTTCTCCCTGTGGAGAGCAATATGTCTAAAGGGGAGAAATGCATGCTTGTTAGTAGGCTCTTGCTTGCATGTAGAGCTTAAAGGAGCTTCTCCTCTTTGAACATGTGATGGTAGAAAGAGGAAGGGCTAGTTGTTCCTTTCTAAGTGTGTTGAGAACAACTGCATAGGTTATGGTAAAATAGGCCTAATGTTACATCTGATTTGGTCCTCAGTCTGTAGGATACTCAAAGCATTACTTTGTTATCAATTTATGCCTGCCATGGGTTTCTTAAAGAATCCTGGAAATTATTCTTATCAGAACTAGAAAAATGTAAAACCACATGTGTTGCAAATACTGTGTACTTCCAGATGACAACAGCTATAGAGTTAGAGACTCCTAGTGTGTATTCTTGAAGGCTTTCACGGCTGGGATCCAATGGTTGTTGTAGGTTTTTTGGGCTTTTTGGCCATGTTCTGAAGGTTTTTCTTGCTAACGTTTCTCCCCAGCCACAAGGACCGGTGATCACTGCACACAAAAGACTAGCTAACACCCATCCATCACAGTGACAGATCACCTCCCCCCCTTATCACAACAATACACCCATAACAAAAAACAACCTGATCACCATAATCACTCAATCTCCTGAAAAGGACAAAAAGCCGATCCCACAGCTATAAATATTCAACTATCCCACACACTACACTAGAATACAGACAGAGTTCTAATTCCTGTCCTCTGAAGATGCCGGCCACAGAGACTGGCGAAATGTTAGGAAGAAAAACCTCCAGAACACAGCCAAACAGCCTGAAAAACCTACAACAACTGCTAGCATACCTTGCCCTTTTCCCTCTTTTGCTTCTTCAAATGAGAGTGATACCCCTAGACTTGACTTCATTTCTCCCCAGACACCATTTTGGTTTTTTTCCCCTCACTCTTGGTGATGTACTTGGAGGTAGCCAACCTAATCTTTTCTCATTTCCTAATATTTGTTAATTTGAGTGAAGGTGATTCCAAGCACCAGTTTCTGCATAAGTTAGAAATGGCTTGGGAGGGTACTGGGAATTTTAACACCCATCTCACAGAGCTACAGTGGTATGGGTTCCAAGGGCAGCAGATATTATGGTTTAAATGTGGAATAAATATACAATCCAAATAGATGCACCTTTACACTGTAGGCCAGTAAATGTAGTCAACACATGATGATGTACAATGGTGTAATCCTATTCCCTTCTTAGCTTGTGTGTCTGACCCCTTAGTTATGGAGTCAAACAGTTAGCCTGGGTCTGTGGATATCGTTAGGACAATCTACTCCCCCGCCCCGATAGTTTAACAACTGCTATGTAATGTTTTCTTCATTTTATCACTACCACATTTATCACAAAGATCAAAAGATATGATTGTCTTTTGTATACTATTGTCCATGGCATGCTTTGAAGCCCAGATGAAGCTTCTGTTTCTGTAGCCCCTCTGACAGGTAGGCTCAGAACTTTTAAAAGTTACTTTTTGGACTATAGGGTTCCCCAACCAGTATGGCCAGGGTCCATGTGGCTGGAAAGATTGTGGGAGTCACAGTTCAAAACAAGTTATTTTCCCAAGCTATGACTAAAGGGGGAAAAAGGAAAAAAGAAGAAAAGAAAAAGATAAAAGAAAACACAGATTTGTGTGTTACCAATACACATTTGTGTGTATCTTTTAAAAAAAAATTTAGAATTCAGAAGAGCTGCTTAAGGCGCCTTTCTCCTCAATATCTCACTCTTTTCCCAATAGGCTAAATTTTGATAATTTATTGGTGAAATTATTAATCTATATTTATGGAAGGATTTCAGCTTGGAAACAGTGGTGAGATAATTCTAAGAACAGCTGACAGGAAGTTTAGGCCAGCAAATACCACTCGAGGTCTTGTTTTAAAACAAGTTTGCAAGCTCCCTGTACTGAACTTGTAGACAAATAACTGCTGTAAAGTGCTGTTGCCTTCTATTAGTCAATGAATAGGAAACGGAACATTTCTTACTTAAGATGTCATACGATAAAAGCCCAAGAGCTTTGAAAGAACCATTATAGGTTATTGTTTAAGAAGAAATAAGCTATCTGAAAAGTCTGCAATTATGAACTTCCATAAGAGCATGTAAAAGGTGCATTGAACTCATTATGTGATATTGAGTAAATAATGTATACAGAGAAGTGTCGGAACAATTTATATGATAGTCTATATAGTCATATAAGACTGAGTGTAAATGTACTCATAGAATCACAGGATAACCCATGTCCAATACAGGAATCCAAATCAAATTATATCTGAGAGATGGTTGTCTAATTTTCTCTTGAATGCCTCCGGTGCTGGAGCACTCACAACCTTCCAAGGTAATTGGTTTGATTGTTGTACTGCTCTAACAGTTAGGAAATTTTTCAGCCAATATCTGGCATCCTGTAACTCGAGCCCTTTACTACATGTCCAGCACTCTGGGATGATTGAAAACAAATCGTGCTCATATAGACAGCCTTTCAGGTGTTTGAAACATGCTGTCATATCTCCCCTCAGTCTTTTCTCAAGGCAAATATGCTTAGCTTTTTCAGTTTTTCCTCATAGGGTTTGGTTTCTAGTTCCCTGATTATTCTTGTTGCCTTCCTCTATACTTGTTCCAGTTTGTCAGCATCCTTTTTATGTACAGTGTCCAGAACTGGACACATTACTCAAGGTAAGGCCTAACCTGTGACAAATAAAGGGGGACTAGTATTTCACAGAATTTGGAGATTACTCTGCTGTTAATGCAGTCAACAAATGGGGTCATGAAGAGTTGGACACGACTAAATGACTAAATAACAACAAATGCAGTCAAAAACAGCATTGACCTTTTTTGCAGCAACATTGCACTGTTGACTCATATTCAACTTGTGATTTACAATTCAAAGATCCTTCTTGCTTGTAGTATTACTGAGCCAAGTATCCCCCATCTTAGAACTGTGCATTTGGCTTTTTTCCCCTTAGGTACTATGTTTCTCTTGGTTTTGCCCCAATTATATTAATCCAGATATTCTCAAGGGGACTACCAAGCTCATCTTCCTGCATTTCTATGCAGGAATATGTATTCTAGACATATACTGCAACTCAATCTCCCTTTCTATTACTGTATTTCTGTTCTTTTTGCACAATTTCTATCCTTCAATTGCTGTATCTCAGTCATGGAGTTATTCCACCAAGTTTCATTTATCCCTACCAAGTCATATTTGCCCTGCTAAACCAAGAGTTTCAGTTCTTCTTGTTTGTTTCCCGTACTCCCGGTATTCTTATATAAACACTGGAGACTGTGTGATTTGTGGCCTGCTTTCCTTTTTACATTTTTGTGAAGATTATTATCAGGCCCCATGAAAGCTGCTTGGTCTGTTTCTCTTATGGTGCACAAGTCTTCATCTGTCTTTACCTCTGAGCTTGAGTCTCCCTTACCCTTCCAGTTCAATTTAAAGCCCCCATGGTGGTGTTCTTTATACTGTGACCAAACACATTCTTCCCAGTGCTTGTGGGGTATCAGTCCATCTTCCAGGAAGCATAGCCCTTGGTCTCAAAATTCAAATCCCTCACACTGGCATCGCCTTCATTGCCAATCATCCACCTTGAGTATTTTCCTTTCTTTTTCTATTGCTCTTCTGAGTACTGGCAGGATGGATGACAGACTCTCCTTCCCAAAGCTTCAAAGTCTGATGTGATTTCTTCATGACTCCTCTTGGCTGTCTCTCTCCCCCCCCCATGGATGAGAAGAAAGTGATACACATCTGTGGGTTTTATGAGTGGTAGCAATCCTTCCATTACACCTCTAATCCATCCTTCAAGAAGATAGCATATCTGGTGGGTCCTTGGATGTTCCTGGCATTTTTCAATTTCAATCCCATGCAGTAGGGAGTCTCCTACTACAACTACTTTTTTCTTCTTTTTATAGGGTGTGAGTTAATCTTGGCTGAGTTTCAGCCTTTCTCATGGAGTCTCCTATATGTCTTCCTGTACATGCTGCCTGCCAGACTCATCTTCAAGAAACTGAATGCAGTTTTGCAATGCCACTGGTGAGGATCTTCTTCTTTTGCTCCTAACTGTGACTCTTTTCCATGGTGCTTCCTCCATTATGCTTGTTCTCAGCATTCTGATCCTCTGCTTTGTATTGCTGTTCTTCTACCTTCTGTCTCTCCCATGACCGCTGCTTCTGCTCAAGAGTTCTGTCTATGTATCCTTCATCTCCTCCTATAGCCTTAAGCCTGGCCACCTGCTCCTCCAGTTTTTTCATTTTTCCTGAAACAGTGTTACCAGTTTGCACCTGCTGAACAGGTATGCTATGTTGTTCTCGGGCACAAACACAAACATGGCACACACTTTGCAGGTCACTACTACTGAACTGTCTCTTCTTCCATATTTGCTGTTAACTTTTTTACTTTCTTCTGTTTGTTTATGAGTCCCTTTCTCTTGTCTTCCTTGAAGGATGCTGGGAAGGTCCACCAATATATACCTATATCCAGAAATGAAACATTTTGTTAGGGGTCTCCCCCTTGGCCTTCCTCACTAAAGTACTGTTAGTTGTCCCTGGTTGCTTGCTTCCTGGGATCTATCTGAGGGCTGTCCTGGCATATATATATATGATATATGGATCACTGATGGCATAGTTTAGATCAGAAAAAAAGACCTCATCCACAATGTTTCTACTTAGAATGATCCATCCTTCCCTTTTAAGAGCTGTCACACACCTTTCTGGCCCAGTAGTACAGCATGCATTCTTTTTTGCACACTCGTTTAGGCTGAAGATAGCAGCCTCCATCAGCCTGTGCCATCGTGGCTGCAGATTCTGGGGGCGGAGAGAGAAAAAGTGGGAGGAGAATGAGGGAAAGGAAGCAGGGAAGGGGAAAGGAGAAGATGGAATGATATTGACAGAGGGAGAGAGGAGTAACATTTTTTAAAAAATTCACTTCCTCTGACCCTCTGCAGACAATCAGAGGAAGTCCTTAAGTGACCATGGGCTATGGGGGTGGTGATCATTTGCTGTTCAAACAGGAGGAGCATGCTAAATAGCACATTGCTTCTTCCCCAGACCTCACTAGATCCTTTGTAGCCTGATCCATCCCACATCCAAAATAGCCAGTCTGGAAAGGCCCTCAGTTTTATTCTTTTGCTATGCTCTGTTAGGAGTCACCTTCCTTTTCTCTGTACAGAAACCTGCCCCACCCCATCTAAAATCCTCAAAAGCTGCCTGCTGCTATTCTAGTATTTCTGTAGCAACTGATGGATAATGCCATTTGGATTTAGGTAGTTGGTGTGCAGTAAGCCGCCCAGAGACCCTTGGGTAGAGTGGGCGGCATATCAATCAATCAATCAATCAATCAATCAATCAATCAATCAATCAATCAATCAAACAAACAAACAAACAGACAAACAGACAAACAGACAAATAAATAAATAAATAAATAAATAAATAAATAAATAAATAAATAAATAAATAAATAAATAAGCCACAATTAGAATAGGCCTATTTAAGCCAATGGAACCTACGGAGGCATTGACTTAAAAGATTCTCACTGATTCAATGGGCCTACTCTCGTGTGAATTATTATGCTAAGCAACACAATTTCAACCATTATGTGGGCATGAGAGGACTTCTGCGTGCCTATACCTCACAGAGCTTAGAAAAGTGACTTTTTGGGAACACGTCTCCCAGAATTCCACAGCCCATATGGGCAGCTACTTTTCCAACGTCTAATGGAATTGTTCTGCCATCTTATGTCCCCTTACTGTTTTCTTTGCCGTGAATGCCTCACGAATGCCACATGGATATCTCTTGTAGTTTTAGAAGAGGCAGCCATGTTAGTCTGTGCTAACATATTAGGCAAAATAAAAAAATAAATAAAGAAGAAACAAATGTGCCCATTAGTCTTTAAGTTGCCACAAAAGTTTTGTCTTCTTTATTTTTATTTTGTTTGATACAAATATTTATGTTACAGATACAGCAGCCACACATTAAAAGTTCTTGTTTTTAACCAAAATGGGTCCAAGTTATTTATACTGCCTGAAGCAGAGCAGCCAACAATACTGCGTCCTCACCTAAGGCCAGGAGCACATATGCAGTGCAAGGCATATGGGATGTGTGGGCAAACTCTCTCAAATATCTCAAATAAATCCCATAACTAAGAATCCCTTGCTTTGTACCCATCACTGGCTGACTGAAGCAGCTGGCTCACCCTCTGTGGTGGTAGGCCTGGGTCTGCTTCTAGTAGCATTTAACAACAGTGGATTGTTAAGAGAGACCATAGAAAGGAAGTGTGGGAAGTTGCTACTAGAAGGACTCTACCCTATAAAAGCCTGTTTTGGCCACTGGAGAAAAGGACTCCTTCCATTTTTCTGGAAGCTAGTAAAAACAAAGAGGTGATTCTGCACATCTGGCGCCTCAGTGACAGGCTTACGTGCAATATAAGCCCGGGAGTACTCTACATTTAAAAAGTTGTCAACACATGTGGATCTGATGGCATAATTAAGGCTGTATGCCTCAGATCCTTTAAGAAAAGAAAAATGATGAACATGGGGGAGGGGGATATACTGCTCTGTCACACAAGCCGAAACTTGCCCAGCTCTGATTTTTGAAATCCTTGCTTCTTTGAACTCCATGCCAATCCCCCCTTTCTCTTCAAATTCTTATGTTGCTCCTTTCTGTCTCATTTGTTGATTACTGGGTCTTTAATACAATTTAGGAGCTTAATGTTGTATGCTCGGATTGATCTAATTTTTGATTTGTGACGTTCTAAGATGTTGAAATTAATTCTGTATGCTACATTCCTGGTGCAATGTAATTTTGCTTTAGAAGAACAATAAATGACACATTTTTAAAAAATGGTTTAGGATAAGTCAGCAGTTTTAATACTTACCAGCTCTACCGAACCCCAAATACAAGTACTGACTAGAGTTGACAGCTACTCTAATACTATATATCCTTCAGGATATAAGCTACACTCAGCATTAAGAGTGATACTTCTGAAGCTTACACAGACGGGACCCATTATAGACAATATACACCGGGGTCAGGACTACATCACTTACTTTCTTGCATTTTAAGAGGTTCTTTTATTGCAACTAACCTTGAATAGTCACTATTTTTACATTAATATTGAAGACTCAGCTCACTTGATTGCAAAGTAATTTTTCAGTTTTGCTTCCACAGTGGAATGCAATATCCACTTCTCTGATACTAGCCAAGCTCAATTACAGCTGCAACTAATGTCAGCAACAAGGTTGTGCCCTCTGATGCCACCTGAGGTTTTGTACACAGAAGGGGCATTGTTTGTCCCTTTGATTGCCGTTGGGATAGCTGCTCTGATGTCACAGAAGGACTGGGATATTACAAAGATACTTGAATTCACGAATGTGTGGCAAATTAAAAGCCATAGTCAAAACCTTCAGTGTTTAGCATGCAGGAGCTTCTAGACTTCATTTGGCTTGAGCATGCTTAACTTCATATTGGACCTGCTTGCATTAGCCTTTAAATGTCACCCTATAGGTGGATGGTTAGAGATCCTTATATAAAGAAAGTGCACAGGCCAGCCAACAACAAGTTGCTTAGGAGCTGAACAGTGTACTGCCATTCATAATATTTTTTTGAAATGTCATGCATCCTGAAATGAGATGTCCCTCCATCACAGGTAAATGAAGCAGTAAAAAACAAACCAACATAGTTCCGATATCCCCTTGAATAAGAACTTGGTTCTTGCTCTTGTTTTTTCTCATTGTTCAGGGACCAAAGATTATACAGCTTATTCAGCTTTCTCAGTTGTATGAAGTGGATGAATAATAACTGTTTGGCTTTAGGAATTAAAATGTACATTGATGTTATGTAGGGTGGACAGCTCACATGGCATTGGCTGAACTCTCAAGGAATTGACGTGGCATGCTTCCTCACCTCCTGTCTGGGAAACAAATTTATGGTGGGTGACACCGGAAGAGGAGCAAGTGTTTTCATAGAAAAACCTGGACACCCATCTCTACACTTTCCCAGCTGGTGTAAGGGTTCACTTGCTCAGCACAGCATTATTTGTATGTGGGTTGTGGGCCACAATAAAAGCAGAGCAAGGGGAGGAGATTGGCCAGTGGCTACATCCAATTGAGTCCATTGGACCATATAGGGCAAGGCAGGGAGTGGACCATCAGCATCATGAGCTGTCTTATTACAGCCTGGCAGTAGTGGTATAGGGCCTGGGAAAATAGTTTCTGTGAGTTGGCAGTAAGCTTTCTCTAAGCCCCAACACAATATAAGGCCAGGAAAATTTCCTCACTGGCCATGTCTGCCATAGGCAATACAACATGAGATACAAACTCTACTACAAATGGTGAGAACTGTTGTGGATGGTGGGGACATTTTCTCATCTGCCTGCATGAACACCCAGTAGATTTGGGGCTGATGTGTTATATAATCAGATGGATATTATTATGATTTTGAAAAATTCCTTGTTCTGTTTTGTTTGTTGTCCACAACGCACAGTGTGCTCATTTCCACAATGACTCACCCATTCCCAAACCTTGCCTGCCCTGAATTTCTAATCTTTGAAGGACCCATTCCCATGACATCGTAAAGCCCTGCCCTTTGATCTTAGGTCTCAGGGAATGGGATACAAATGATAATTCATCTTCTCAAGGCTGTGCACCAAGTTCTTGTGGGTAGTTCCAAAAAGACTTTGGGACTTTAATAAAAGCATATAATTTTGGAACTACCCACAAGAACCTGATGCACAGTCCGAAGAAGATGAATGAAGCTTACTTCGCTGTCTGGATAAGTGAAGCATCCAATCAGCAGGCAGAACTTTTCTGTATAGTATACGACCTATCCGGAATTGGTCACAATGATTGGCCTTTATCTAGCATTTCCTGTAACCAATTTGCAGCATTTTAAAAATCAAAAGTGGAGGCCCTTCGCCGGGATCTTGCACCCTATTTGAAAATAGTGGATCGAGCTGAGACATCCAGCACAGTGCCTTGTCCATTGAGAATTACTCAGTTTCAACCTGTGATGTCCGCAGAGGTGGACAAGGTCCTTGATCACTGCCGAGACACCACCTCCTCCCTTGACATTTGCCCAGCCTGGCTAATCAAAGCTGCGAGGCCAGTGATAACTGAATGGGCCACTGAAATAATAAATGGATATCTTCTTGAGGAAACTCTCATTAGGCCCATTAGAAAGAAACCGAGCTTGGCGGCAGACAACGTTGGCAATTATAGGCCCGTCGCCAATGTTTCTTTTCTTAGCAAGGTAGTTGAGAGGGTGGTGGCCAACCAGCTACAAGCTCTTTTGGAAGAATCCAATGCCCTGGAGCTATTTCAGTTGGGCTTTGGGCCGCACCACAGCATGGAAACGACATTGGTCTCCCTGCTGTATGACCTACTTAGGGAGGCCAACAGGGCAAAATGTCCTTGCTTGTCCTCCTTGATATCTCAGCTGCCTTTGATACTCTTGACTATGGTATCCTCCAGAGGGGG